TTCCTAAAATGAGGGGAGAAGTGTTCCTTCTTTTTTCTGCTTTAATTGTCTGATATAATTTAACAGTTAAAATGTATATGAGCCTGCTGTTGGCATATAGGTAGGTTTTCAAGCTAGGAATATACTTTAATAGGTGCTATTCAAAAAAAAAAAGCAAATTATAAGACATTCCCTAGTATGAATAAGTAAAATTCAGAGTTTGGCAGATTCGACTGAATATTCATCAATCCTAAGTATTTAGTTAAATGGATGATTACAGAATTTACATCTAATAATCGATGGCATTCCAAAACATACTTCCTTGTGAAGGAATATGGTTGAAGAATTTTGGGGATAATTTACTACTTTGTACTGAATACTTTCAAAAGAGATAGTACTAGAACCACAAATCCACTTTGAGAAATTTTGCAAAGGAAATAGTGAGACATGCACACAAAGTTGTGAAATTATTTTTTTTGTCTATTAGCAGAGGAGTAATTGAATAATAAAGGTACAGACCCAGTGAAATATTATGCAGTGATTAAAAATCTAGGGCTGCAGATGTAGCTCAGTAGAGAGAGCATGTTTGCTTAGCGTGTTCAAAGTCCTGTGTTCAATCCTCCGCACCACATGCACCAAAAAACAAGAAACCAACAATCTATATTCAGTGAAAAAATATGTGCCTAAAACTTATGTATAGCATAAGTACATGACAAGTTGCTCAACATTACAGTGTCTTCAGAGAAAATCATGAGATACCACTTTACACCACTAAGATGACTACAATAAAAAACTGAAAACAATAACAAGTGCTGATGAATATATGAAGGAATGGAAACTCTATTCCTAGGTTTACATACAAGGGAAATACAAACACACAAATTTGCACACAAATGTTTATAAAAGCATCATTTATAATAAAAAATGAAATGAACAATACAAATATCCATCGGCTGCTGAAGGGATAAACAAGATGTGTTATATTCAAACAATGGAATATTATTCAAGTACAAAAACAACATACTGTAAAATGGATGAGCCTTAAAATCATTTTAGGCTGTATGAAAAAAGCCATTCACAAAAGGCCATATATTATACGATTACATTTATACTACTAGAATAGGCAAATCTATAGAGGCAGAGGTAGGTTTATGGTTGCCTTAAGGCAGGGGAATAAAAGAACAGACTGCAGTAAAAGAGTATGAAGTTGTTTTTTTTTTTCTTTTTGGTACCGGAGATTGAACTCAGGTCCTTGCACTTGTGAGGCAGGCGGAACCACTGAGCTAAATCCCTGGCCCCTGAAGTTTTTGAATTGATGAAAATATTCTAAAATTGGGGATACAGCTCAGTGGTAGAATGCTTATCTAGCATGTAAAAGTCCTTGGGTTAATTCCCAGTACCACACATACACAACCCACACAAAGTTATATTTTGACTTTGGTGATGGTTGCACATATTAAACACCACCAAATCACACATTTCATTTATTTATTTATTTGAGATGAGATTTTGCTGTGCTACATAAGTAGTGGGATCCTCCGGCTTCAACCACCCAAAGAGTTGGGATTACAGGTGCCCACCACTTAGCCCAACTGAACTATACACTTTAAATGGGTGAATTACATGGCACATGAATAATAAAGCTATTATTAGAAAAAGCTACCAGTAGACCTTAATTATTATATACCTACTGAAATATTTAATGGCAAATGTGTGGATGTCTACAACTTACTTAGAAGTGCATCAAAAACTAAAATAACTGTTAAAAGCTGTATTAACAATAAGAATGATGTAGATATATGATAAACAATAAAAATGATAAAATTTAGGTGGTAGACAAATGTATTCAGCTGTAAAATTCTTCAAATCTTGTTATGTGTTTAAATTTTTGTATGTTGGAGGATGAGAAAGCTTGTACTACAAACAACTCAGTAATGTAACTAGGAACAAAAATATTTTTAAACTACTCTTCTATATAATAGTCAATTAGAAGAGAACAAAGAGGCCCAAAACAAAAAAAGATTCCTTTTACAGTTGCAACGACATAAAGAAACTGGCCACGTAGAGCAACACCCTTGCTGAAAGCAGAAGCATAACCTGCTCTTGAAAGTGCTGAGCTGGGTTTGGTGGCCCACGCCTGTAATCCCAGCACTTGGGAGGCTGAGGCAGGAGGATCACTGAGAGCTCAAGGCCAACCTGAACTACATAGCAAAACTGTCTCAAAAAACAAAACAAAACAAAAAGTGATGATTTGAAAAGTGAACATCTTAACATTTAAGTTATATTTAAATATATGCATATACTTAGTGACTCCATCCATTATGGCACAGGTTTGCCTCTTGATGGTTTACTATCACAAAAATCTCCACAAAGTGTTTTAAAATAAGCTATATGCTCATTATATGAATGTTCATAATACTAAATCAAGTAGGAAAAGTTAGACCAATGTTTCAATAGTTTGAATTGCAAAAACCAAGCATCAAAAAATAAAGACAAATTGAAATAACACAAACATGTTATCAAAAGTCATTTGGGAATTAGATGCTCCTTACCATTTTAGATTTGATTCCTTCTTGACCTCTTCCATAGCTTTCCTATTGAAGGGGACAAAATGGAGAAATGTGGGGAGCAAAAGGGAATTTGTTCAGTAACACTTGTTGAGTCTTAAGGGGTGTTATGGCTTGTGTCTAGCTGTACCCCTAAAGCTCATGCAGTCATAGGAGGGGCTTTTTCAGAGGTGGCTGGATCTAGAGTGTGTGACAGATTAATAGTGCCAGACTTGGATCAAGGGTGAGCGATTACTAAACCAACCCCTTGTTGGCTTGGCATCGCCCTAACCTTGGTAGCCTGGATACAGCATAAAGGACAGAACGGGGCTTGTCTTGCCCTTCTTGCTTTCCTACCTTCTGCACGCCACGAACTGTTTCTTCTCTGCGATGCCTGTCCACTGTGCACCCTGCCTTGGAGCCAGCTGATTACAGACTGAAACCTCTACAAACTGAGCTAAATAAACCCTTCCCCCTTTAACTTTGGGTGGCGGGTATTTTGTCTCAGCAACGAGAGTAAGACGGGGACTGTAACCGTTGAGCTTCAAAACTCGCACCAACCAGGGTCCCCACACCTCCAAAGCACACCCGCGAACCTCCCCAAACACTGGCCACACCCCTCTGGGCTGATCCCGAATCCTGGACCCCACCCTCGGTTCACTGTCAGCACGCCCCAAATCCCCTGTCTCTGGGCTGCACATTAAATCCCAAATCCGAGCCAGACACCTTCCACTGACAAAACCACCCTTCACCTCATTATCCCCACAGTGATCCGAAACCCTGACAACTTGTCACCGCTGGCTCTAGGGGTCCCTGAGGACTGACTCCCGTTTGCTTCCCCTTCGCCAAGACTCTAACCTGCACCGACACGCACAGACACCCCGCCTCTTATACTGTTCCACAGAGAGACCCACACACCGACCAGACTTTCTCCAGATCCCACGTACCTCTCAGAAGCTGCACTTCCGCGAACTCTTAGAGTTCTTGGCGCTCCCCCAGTCTCCTTGTTCCGCCTACAGGGGCCGGTGAGGACTGGACAAGCTTTCTGCAGAGCGCAAACTCCTGAACTTCCGGCTTTTCCTTTTACGGAAGTAATATGTCGGCGCCCACAGTATCCTGGAAGATAGGGGGCGGCCATCTTTCAACACTGGGGGACGTACAGGAGGCAAAGTGGCCTTGTTTTGAATATCCGTCCTGGGAAGGCTAGTGGCAGTGAAAGGCTGCTCGAGCCACCTCATTTTTTGACGCCTTAAGCATTGCGTCCTAGATTATATTGACTTTCATAGGCTCTATCCTAGTAAACACGAAGGGGGCAAGCGCAGACTTTGAAACAATAGGCGCAGCCGTCTTCGAAGCTATGAAGTTATATGTCCGTACAAATGAAAACGCTTCTTCTTAGGCGGAGGTTAAAAGGAGCAAAAATATGGCAGGAATGCTTCTAGCTGCGCGCTGAGGGCAAGAGGAAGAATTTCAAGACATAAAAAGGTCTGGATAAGCAACTGCGATAGTTAGCAGCCACACCATCAAAAGGAAGTGAAGAAGTCAGAGGAACATCCTTTACCTTCCTGGGCAAAACCTGGTTACTGTTCAGGAGAGGGGCGCAAGAAGCCAACTGAAGAGGGATTCCAATGAGGGAGGCCATCCATCCATCTTTTCTTTCCGGAAATACCATAAAGGGCTTCCCTTCTTTCTTGGGACGGGTGGAGCTAATATTAAGTGAGGAGCTTTCTGAGGATCAAAGGCCAGAAATTCTGGAAGTTAAATAAGATTAACTCCAAGAAGATTAGACAATGCAAGAAGTGACCATTAATCATAATATACTACATGCTGAACTAAAAGTAGTATTTAGTCATTAAAATGAAAATTAAAGATCTAGTCTAACCATAATTAATATATAACTCTACTTGAAAAATGAGGAAACAATTTCCTGTGTGCGATGGGGCATTTGTGTCTGGAAGAGGGGTGTTTTGAAGTCTTCATGATAAACCTGTAGACAACTCTCCCCAAATGAAAAATCCATGTCACCACTACATCCATTTAACTTACAAAAAAAAGAACTGTGAGAAAAGTTTTGCAAATAAAAAGCCTTAACAAAGTATTTGACTCCTTGGGAGAATTGCAAAGAACAACCCTTAGAGACACAGAAAATCCACTCCTACATATTTACCCAGAAATAATAAAACAATAGGTCCTCACAAGAATGTTCATATGACCTTTATTCATAATAGCCATAACACTTTTATTCATAATTGCTCCAAACAGGAAACAATCCAGTCTTTCTCTTGCCCTCCACACACAGCCAGAAGTGCGTATTTGTTTATTGGTCTATACAGCTAGATGAATGGATAAACAAACTGTGGTACAACCATACCATATAATTCTACCCAGCAATAATTTCAAAAGCAAACTATAGATGCATACAAGAAGAACCCAAACAGAAAAAAAGTAATACTACATTATTCTATTTTTATGGATTAACAGGTGTTGGTGAGTATATGGAAGAATTTGCAGCCAGATACACTGCTGGTGGAACTGTAAGTGCAGCCACTTTGGAAACCAGTCTGTCATTTCCTCTATGGTTAGATAATATATATTGATCATATGACCCAACAGTGTGACTCCTACATGAGCATTTATAGCAGCATTATTTTCAATAGATCAAAACAGTACAATCCATCAGCTGCTGAAGGGAAAAATAAAATGTACTGTATCCATACAATGTAATATTATTCCAGTATAAAGAGGAACAAAATACCAAGACATGAGGCACCATGGACAAACCTTGGAAATTTTCTAAGTGAAAGAAGTCAATCACAAAAGACTGAATATTATATAGTTACATTTATATGAATGTCCATAATAGGCAAAATCTAGAGGATATGAGAGAATGGAAGAAGTAAAATTAACAGGTGTAAATAACCACAGTATGATTAAGAAAAGAATAATCTAAATTAGGAAAAAAACTGAAGTAAATGCAAAATAAGAAATAAAGCTAAAGATTTTATTCACCTTTAATTTTGACAAAGATTGAATGGTGAAGTTGTAGGAAATATTACTTCTGACAACCTTTTTCTTTATTATACGCAAAGTGAGGGTAGTATTTAGGTCCACCACCTACAGCTTTTGGAGTATTATGTGAGATAATACAATTGTTATGCTTGAAATGCATTCCTACTTAAAAATGTGGATAATGCCAATAAACATTAGCTGTTGGTTTTCAGCAAGAGTTTTTATTGGAGTATAGGAAGCAGTGAATAGTGTATTTATTAATGAAACATTTTTGGACAACAATCTTGGATTATTTACTGAGTGAGAAATTTTTCTTCTCTTTGACTCAGAAATCCCAATTCTAATAATTTATTCAGTAAGAATTAGATATGAAAATACCTGATTTGAGATAAGCCTGCACAGAAATTTCTACTAACGCTGTATTTCCACCTTCCACCTTGGCCTGTGGCAATGCCTTCTCACTTGTCAGATCTTTTCCTTAAACTAACTTTGCTTACTGTGTGCCTCACTGTACTATTACTGTGTACTATGCTGTACTATTCTCCAGAAGCATTCTTGAGCTCATTTTACTTGCTCTCTACCTCTTAAAGGCCTATATTCATTCATTCATTTGTTTGTTTGCTTGTTTGTTTGTTTGCTTGTTTGTTTGAGACAGAGCCTGAATTTAGTTCAAGATGGGCTTGAACTTGCTGTGTATCCTAGACTGGCCTCAAACTCCCAGTGATCCTCCTTCTTTAGCCTCAAAAGTGCTGGGATTATAGGCATGTGCCACCATGACACCCTGACAGTACTCTTTTTTTTTTGTACATATATGATTACCTTCTTCATGATGGCTGCACCCACTGTAATGTGCTAATTCAGATGTACAAGTGACCATGTTGGACTTGATGTTGGGGATTGTCTTGGTTACTGTTTTCATTGCTGAGACAAAATACTCAACACCCAAAGTTAAAACAGGAAAAGTTTATTGTAGGTCAAAATTAGTAGAGGCTTCAGTTCATAGTTGGCGGGCTCCAAGGCAGGGTGACATGGCAGGGGGTGCACCACAGAGCAGGTAGGCAGAAGGCAGCAAACAGCAAGTAACCAGCAAGTGTCTCCATCTCTGTTAATACATAGCCATAGCTCCCTTTTCATACACATGCGGGAATTCATAAATTTTCTTTTCCACATTTTGGGTGTCTCCCATGTGTCATAATTTCTTCTGTTTTTTCTCCTTTCACTTACAAATGTCTGAGAATTTCATTCTGTACTCATTCTCTCTTCCTCTTATCTCCTCTGCCTTTGGTATAAGATTCTACTCCTTTTAGTAAATTGCCCAGTGGATTCATTGCTTTTCTTTACTAGAAGATGGGTGGCAAGCCAATGACGATACAAAATGGCACCAAGAAAAACAAATCAGCCTTGAAAGTATGGAGTCACCACAAATATAATGCTATCAGGAGCTCTTCAGACCCCTGAATACCTGTAGGGAGAACAACGGGGAATAAGAAAAAGAGACAGAAACAATATTCAATGTGCAGTGGGGGACAGAGAAGAATTGATCTCTAGTGGACAGGCTTCAATGAACTCCACAGTGGACCTGCTTGTATTAATAAGTGCAGGGGAGGGGATAGTATACTATTCCAGGAACAGATACTGCAGTAAGTTTAGAATAGCCAGATAGGGACCAAGTTTAGTATCTCAAAGGGAAACAAGTTAAGGTCCTTCCTCAGATTAGGATGTCCGCATTTTATATTGCCCTCAGCAGAATATTATCTTGCTTGAGGAGTGCTATGATTATGGCTTTCCCACCTAGCCAGGAAGTCTGCAATATTTTGCAAAGTTCAGTTCGTTGTTCCCCAGGCAAGTTAACACTGGCCTTGGGAGTGCAGGGCCTGTGGCCTGGCCCCTACTAATTTATACATATCATGGCTGGTCCCCAACATGATGCACTTGGAAAAATAATATCTAATCTGAGCTCCAACCTTGAACTCATTCTTTTGTGAAGTTTTTTTTTTTTTTTGTACCTGGGATCGAACTTGGGACCTTGCACTTGCAAGGCAGGCGGTGGAACCACTGAACTAAATCCCTAGACCTCTTGAACTCACTTTTGCACAAAGATCTCACACATTTGACACACTTGGGAAACATCTGAAATCTACTATAGAGCACATTGTTCAGAAAAGAAGTTTTGCAAGAAATGAAATTGAACTTAATGGATATGACAAATTTCTTTCTTTATAGTAAGCATGAGGAAATTCATTGTAGAGAACAATACAGTGACTATAACTAATGTGTAAAGGCTTTCACCCAGAAGTCTCAGTTTTTAGACACCGAAAAATGCAAACAGGAGAACAGCACTAATATACTGTAGTGACGGTTGGAAAACTTTTCCCAGAAGTCAGACCTCACTAAGCATCAAAGAACACAGGAGAGAAAACTGACCTGTAATGTCAGAAAGCCTTTTGCCAGAAGTCTCACCTCCTTCTACATCAGAGAACCCATACAGGAGAGGAGACTTATGAATGCAGTAACTTTGGGAAAGCTTTTCTGGACAAGTTATGCCTTCCTAAGCATCAAAGAAAGATGGATGCAGTGGCACACACCTGAAATCCCAGAACTCAGGAAGCTGAGGTGGGAGGACTGTCATGAGTTTGAAGACAGCCTGGGCTACACAGTGAGTTCAAGGCCAGTGTAAATTATACATCAAGACCCTGTCTCATAAAAAGCATCAAAGGATGCAAAGAGGTAACTGTTCTCTGTCCATACTTTATATTTCAGCATCCTTAATATCCAGATATGATTATGATAGTTAAATCTACTCTACTCACTTCAATATTGGTGTAACTAACCTTTCTGGG